CAGCGGCGAGGTGATAAAAACTTCAAGTTCCACTTCATGAATCTCTCCACCTCTCTCTCGCTCTCTGTGTGTGTGTGTGTGTGTGTGTGTGTGTGTGTGAGCGTTGGTGCAGGAAAGCAGCGACGTGGCAGATATAGAAACGTGAGGCGACAGACATGGCACGAAGAGGAAAAACGAAAAAAGAATAAGAAAATATGGAAACGAAGCGACGTGGCAGCTATACAGATGTGAGGCCGCAGACATGCCACGAAGAGGAAAAGCGGGAAAAAAATAAAACAAATGGAAACGACGAATCTTAGTAACGACAATCCTCTCTCTTTCTCTCTCTGCGTGTCAGAGCAGGAAGGCAGCCACGTGGCAGAAATAGAACAGGTGGCACATTTAGAAACGTGAGGCGCCTGGCATGCCATGAAGAGGAAAGACGGAAAAAAAAAAAAAAAAACGGAAAGGACGAACTGTAGCAACTACTCTGTGTGTGTGTGTGTGTGTGTGTGTGTGTGTGTGTGTGTGCGTGTGCGCGCGCGTCAGTGCAGGAAAGCAACCACGTGTCAAATTTAGAAACGTGAGGCTGCTAACATGGCATGAAGAAAGAAAACGAAAAAAAAAAAAAAGGAAGCAACGAATTTCTCTTTGTCTCTGTCTCTCTCTCTCTCTCTCTGCATGTCAGTGCAGGAAGGCAGCCACGTGGCAGAAATAGAACAGGTGGCACATCTAGAAACGTGAGGCGCCTGACAATGCCTGACATACCATGAAGAGGAAAACCGAAAAAAAAAAAAAGACGGAAAGGACGATCAGTAGCAACGACACAGGTCCTCGCTGCACTACTCTGGAAATGTGCAAAACGACAGTGAATCTTCCGCTAGAATATGGAAAGATACACGGCCATGATTTTTGTCTTTTGCGCATGTCAATAGTAGTGCAGCGAGGCCCACACTCTGTGTGTGTGTGTGTGTGTGTGTGTGTGTGTGTGTGTGTGTGCGCGCGTCAGTGCAGGAAAGCAGCCATGTGTCAGATTTAGAAACGTGACGCTGCTGACATGGCATGAAGAAAGAAAA